TTTTTTAAGCCTGGTGGGGCGGGGCCAGGAGTGGTGGGCCCCCTTCCTCTCGGCCCCTCCCTCTCTGGGCTGGGGAGGGGAGGCGAGGGACCCAGTACCCCTGGTTTACAGAGTGACCTCAACTGCAGACCGTGCCAGGATACAGCCCTGCACTCCTCAGGCGCAGAACACCCATAACAGTAACAAGAATATCAATAATTGGCATTCATTGATCGCTTATTATGTGCTGGGCACTGTACTAAACTCTAAGTGCATTAATGTCCCAACAACTCTCTTGGCTAGATGTTATCAAGGATCTCAATTGACTCATGAAGAAACAAAGACATCGGACACTCAAGGCTGAGCGAGAAGAACACACGACTTTCTTTTTTTTTAATTTAAAAAAATTTTTGTTTATTTTCGGCTGTGTTGGGTCTTCATTGCTGCACGAGGGCTTTCTCTAGTTGTGGAGAGCGGGGGCTTCTCTTGTTGCGGAGCACGGGCTCTAAGCACGGGGGCTTCAGTAGTTGTGGCACTTGAGCTCTAAACTAAAGCACAGGCTCAGTAGTTGTGGCACACAGGCCTAGCTGCTCTGCAGCATGTGGGATCTTCCTGGACCAGGAGATTGAACCCGTGTCCCCTTCACTGGCAAGCAGACTCCTATCCACTGCGCCACCAGGGAAGCCCAAGAACACATGACTTCCGATGTCTATGCTGATGTTCTGCGCTGTGACAGGGGCGACTCAGTGGATAAGTTCCATCACCTAGGCCCCGCTACTATCTCGGACATGCCACTTAGCTCCTTGTGCCTCCATTTCTTCACCTTTAAAATGGTGGCGCTAATAGAACCTGCCTCAGAGAGTTGCTGTGGAATAGCACATTGTAAGTGCTATTGTTGTTATAGATAGGCTGTCACTTGCTCCCCCGCTGCCGTAGGATCTTTTCCTGGGAAGCTTATCTTGTTTCTGGGGCTGGGGCCTGGCTCTGCGATGCCCTTGGAGGAGCAGAGGAGGAGGAGGAGAAAGTGGAAGACCTGGGAGGCCCTTAGGTGTGGCCTTGTGCTCCCTGGTCCTCCTACTATAGAAAAGGGGCATAAAGCAGTTGGGTCTCCTGTCTGGGCCAGTTTTATTGCCTGGAAAAGGGAATGGTATTACTTGGCTTTCTCCCTTATCAGTGCATTTGTTGAGTGCTCCTTGTATGTCAGGGACAATGCCTAGGAGAGGCTCTGGAAATCAACCGCTGCGGTCCCCCACCATCCATCCACCCACAGTGCACCTGAGGGAAATTCTGTGCTTTGGACACCGCCCCTAGGTAGTTAAGAGACACATCTAAAGAAAAAATTCAATGACCCCAGATTCCTGTGTCTTCCCAAACATAGAAAAGTACTAAATCATTAACTTAAGATGCCTGTTCTTTGTGGTTAGCAGTAATCTTGTTATGTTCGACTAGGTGTTTTTCTTTCCATTGGGTGGGCGACTGCAGTGGCTAACGGCTTGACCCTTGTAGAACTGGAATGACAGGCAACATTTTTTTTCTTTACACTGTTGTGTTTCCAGAGCCCCTCCCACCCCCACCCCCAGCATGATCCCAGACATATAAAAAAAATTTATATATATCCCGGCTCCTCCGTTACCTCTTTGAAACAGTTTCTCAGAGCTCAGTGAGAAACTGAATAAACTCAACTCACAGCTCTTATGTTGTGCATTTTTTTCAAGTCGACTGCAGTGAGGAAACAAAGCCCTCAACCAGGCCTTGCAGTTTCTAGGATGGTCGGGGAGAGACATCAAAGAATCCTACTAGGGCTTCCCTAGTGGCGCAGTGGTTGAGGGTCCGCCTGCCGATGCAGGGGACGCAGGTTCGTGCTCCGGTCTGGGAAGATCCCACGTGCCGCGGAGCGGCTGGGCCCGTGAGCCATGGCTGCTGAGCCTGCGCGTCCAGAGCCTGTGCTCTGCAACGGGAAAGGCCACAACAGTGAGAGGCCTGCGTACCACAAAAAAAGAAAAAGAATCCTACTAAGATGTCAACTGCGGAAAGCGCTTTAAAGGAGAAGGGCGTGGGACTCTGAGGGTACTAATTCAGGAGCCTGGCCTGGTCTGGAAGGAGCGGAGCCAGGAAAGGCTGCCTTCCCTGACAAGGGGGCAGCTGAGTGGATTTCTGGAGGCAAGCCTTGTGCCATGACCCACAGGCCTGATTCTTGGGATGGTGAGGGCTCCGTTTCTGGCCATCACGGCTGTGAGTGGGCTTGTTGCTGGCTTATTGACTCTCCCCCCTCCCCTGAGCCAAAAGGAGTCCGAGCCTCAGACTAGGTAGACGCTGGCTAGATACCAGTGGACTGAAGGATGCCCAAGCTCCCCATAGCCATCACCACCCTGTGGTCTTCCTAGAGACAGGAAATTGCACATTAAACATACAAGCCCCTGGGTTGGCTCCCTCCCCTTCCTCCCCCCAACCTGTACAAAAGCTTGGCCCAGTTAGGTCAGCTACAGTGAGGAAGGGGTGCCCAGCTGAAATCTTAGAATCATTTCCTAGATAAAGAACTAAGACTGAGAGATGGAAGGCCAAGGTGAATCTCTGGGAATGGGACAGGGTGTGGCTCGTCCCAGAGCTGGAGCCTGCAGTGCCCATGTGGCAAGAAGCCCCTTCTAAACAATAAAATAAGAATATTTGCAAGGCAGGACGAGAACGTTTTTAAGCATAAAATTCTCTCTGCCCATTTGAGCCACTACCCCCTCCCTTTAGTGTGCAATGAGCAGCTGTATGATACATTAACTAGATTCCCCTGAGAAGACACAGCAATGCCTAGTCACCCCCCGCCCCCTGAAAAAAAAAAAAAAAAGCAGTTTTCTCCTGGCACAAGCAAGGTAACTCCTTAGGAGACATTTCTTTCTCAATCCTGTAAAGAGGTCAAAATAACCCACTACTCACCTTCTTGGACTATGGAAACTGTCAATATGTTACTTTGATGTAGAACCTTTTGTCTCAAAAGCTTCTCTAACAGGTAGAACAGTCCTCAGAGCTTTTTTCTGAAAGACTGTCTCCCAGGTTACAATCCTCAGACTGGTTTTTTTTTCTTCTTTCTCTTTTTAAAATATTTTCAACTCTTCTAATATAAACATACATTTTAGTCATGGAAAATATAACATTAAAAACAATCTGATGTTCTTCGACTTTAAACCTAATCTGGCTCTGTTGCCAGAGATCAACTTCATGTCCCTTGGTATTCTGGTTTATTTTTTTTGGCCATGCCAGGAGGCTTGTGGGATCTTAGTTCCCTGACCAGGGATCGAACCTGGGCCCTCAGCAGTGAAAGCGTGGAGTCCTAACCACTGGACTGCCAGGGAATTCTGCCCCTTGGTATTCTGGAGACCTCAAAAGGAGCTGACTTTCCCTGAACCAGGCACTGTGTGGGGGCATTACATATTATCTTATTCAACCCTCACCACAACTTTATGAGGTAGGTACTATTATTTTTACAGATGTCATATCTGTGGCTTAGAGAGATGCAGGGAAACGTCCTCCCCACCCTGGGTATAGGTTTTCTTCTCCTTATACCCACTCCAGTGTTTTCTGGATCCCAAGCCTTAGTATATGTTAGTCCTTTTGCCAGGAATACCCTTCCCGCCTTGCTTGGCCTAGTCAACTCCTATTCATCCTTCAAGACCCACCTCTGGACCACACTTCCAGGCAGAATTAATCATTGCTTAGTATGTGCTTCCACAAGACTGTATTCAGACATCTAATCCTGGTTTTAGACTTCACCTGGTTATAATAAGTACGTGTTCACAGGATTGTCTCCTCCCAACCCCTACCCACATCCTGCCTCCAGACTTGAGGGCAGAGACATTGTTTTATTCATCCCTGCATCTCCTAGCAATGGGCCTGGCATGCGATAAAATGAAATGTTAAATAGATTTGATGGCATGCACCAACCTCAGTCAATTGATTGCAGCTGCCTGGATTGCAACATTGAGATGGGCTGCTTCTCTGGCTTGGTGGGAAGGAGTCATGTGATCCATTAGTTCTGTCTGCCATGGCCTCAGGAATGAAAAGTATCTAATGACAGTGTTGTCTAGCCCTGGGCTATGTGCTCAGTAAGTTTTGTTGAGAAGCTTTGGAGAAGCCTGTGGAAGCTACAATGGTTTCTTCACTCCCAGTTGGTTCATGCCCGTAGAGCACTGTCGTACAACCAACCACTGTGAAAGAGACGATTGCAGCAAGGATTCCTCATCCAAATGGCAGTCTTGTCATGACTTCCACCCAAAGCCTCTGCTTCCTTTTCACAAGTGGCCAACCACAGCTTCTGGAGAGCTGTTCTTGTTTTTAGATATTACAAGGAAGGGAGAAGAGAGCATGAGGGTGAGGGTAAAGACATTTCCTGTTTCGAGTTGTTGCTTCTCACATGCCAACTCTGAGCTTTGTGTGACTGTGTCCAGGTGCCACGGATGGTGGTTGCTGTTGAACCGAGCTTGAAGATGGGCAGGGATTTTACCAGAAAGAAGTGAGGCTGTCCCAGGTGAGGGGACCAGCTGAGCCTTAGACAGGAAGGCTGTCCAGGATCCAGAGAAGTGCAGGGCTGCAGGCACAGCTCCCCAACCACTCACCCGACTGGGGAGCTTCCCCAGACCACTTCCTGTCTTGGGACTCCTGCTCTTGGTCTCATTTTAAACACTTTGTCCCTGATAGAACCTTCTCATCTTCCCATCCCTCCATCCTGTTCACTTAGCATCAACTGCTTGCCAAGCTCACTGCCAGGTGCTGGGGTTACATACTAGTGTTTACACAATCCCTTCCCTCAGGGAATTCCCAGGCCAGTGGGAGGCAGCACTAACACTTCCAAATTACAATAAGAAAAGTATGCAGTTGCATAAATCAGTTCAGAGAACGATCCTCACAAGGAAGTCAAAGAAGGATTCACAGCAGAGGAGCTGAATTTTGAAG